GCAGCCTGCCCACCTTCTTGGTGGAAGGTGCCCAGATCGAGGGCGGAGCCGCCGTTGAGCACGTTGAGCAGCGCCCCCCGCCCCAGCGCGACGTCGTGCCAGTAGCGTGCCGCCACATCAAACCTGGTGCATGCACATGGGTGCGGTGGGTGGGGTTGGCTGTGAGTGGCGGCCTCGCGCCACGGCAGCTCCCCACAGGCAAGCGCCGACGAGCAGGAACAAGAGCCGGGGCACGGCGCACGAGAACTCACCCATGCCCCACACATACACACACACACACAAACAGCCGCAAGCAAGCGCGCCGCCGCCGCCGGTAAGGCAGGCAGCGCACCTCTGGGCCAGCACCGCGTGCGACATGGCCAGAGAGAGCGCGTGGTGGCCCTGCCGCTGCCAGGCGCTGTCCGCAGGGTCCGCCCGCTGCCTGGTGCTCAGCACAGTGACGTCTGCGGCGGGGCAGGTGGGCAGGCGGCGAGGACGGGTGAGGTGGAGGGGCAAGGGGGTGTGCAGCCGCGACGCAGAAAGGCCGCGCAGCTGGCGTGCAGGCAGGCTGCGGGAGACGGGCAGGCGGCAGGCGCCGCAGGCGGGCGGTGGCATCGGCGGCAGGCGCCGGCGGTTCTACAAGAGTGCTGCGCTTTCCAGCCCGCGCTTTCCACCCCGGACCTCACCCAGGATGGAGGCGTGGTCCACCCATTGCAGGAACAGGGCGTTCTCGCAGTTGACCACCCGCACCTGAGACAGGGCCAGGGGCAGGGCACTTGGTGAGGCAGGCAGGGCTGGGGGGCGAGGCCGCGAGCGCTGCCAGCAAGAAGCAGCAGCAGCCTTTTCGTGGCCCGCCAGCGCAGCGGCACAGCCCTATTGCCTGGCACGTGAGCCGCTTCCCCAAAGGTGCGGGGCTGGGGAGGGCGGCGCTGCGGCCAGGGACGGGGCACCCTACCTGGCGCGCCCACACGTTGGAAGCTGTGTGGAAGCCGATGGCGTTGTAGCCGCGGTCGGTACCATGGCCGGCGTACCGAGAGGGGCTGCAGGCCGGGGAGGCAGCAGGTGCAGGCAGGCAGGAATCACGGCTGCGCGGGGGAGAGACAACCCTAGGGACGGCACTGCAGGCTGCATTCAGCAGCACAGGTTGCAGCGCCGGAAGGTGGTACTGCCAGCATCGCTGGTACCGTGTGCAGTACCTGTGGTCGGCAAACTCGACCGTCAGCCGCTCCACGCCCGCCTCTTCCAGCGAGGGCTCGTATGCGTGAACCCACCCCTCCTGCCCATCCAGCACTGCAGGCAGGGCAGGCAGGCAGGCAGCAGCCACGTCAAGCACCTACCAGGCCCCCCAGACAGCCGGAACACATCCTTCAAGTCAGGGCAGCCGGCAGCGCCCCAGCCACTGCCGCCGCCGCCAAGCCTGGCTGCTAGGCCCGGCGTGCTTTCTTTCTTCCACGCCTTACCTGGGAAGGGCAGGGCACGGTCCAGCTCAATCCAGTTGCTGCCCACGGCAGCCACCCTGCAGAGCAGGCAGGCAGGCAGGCGAGGCGCGGATGGGATAATTCAGCAGGCTGCGGAGGCGCATGTGGGCAGGGGCTGGGCTCGGGCGCCAATCAGGGCCCCCACGCTGCAGCGCCGAGCTCGAAGCGAGCAAGCGGCGGCACCACGGTGGGCGGGAGGGCCCAGGCAGGCCGAGGCTGCCTGGCAAACCCACTTGGCTGAGAACTGAAGCTCGTCGGGGATGGGGCTGTCGCTTGGGAGGCTGCAGGGCAGGCAAAGGATGCCAGGGGCATGAAGGACGGTGCAGTGCCAGGGTCAGCGCCGACGCTGGCCGGGCCCCAGCCCAGCCCACCCCACACAGGCGTGACGCTGCAGGCGCCGCAGCAACCTGGGAAGGACACAATCCAAACACTGTTTTATGGGGGCAGGCAGGCGACACCTGTCGATCTCCCAGGCGTCCACCGTGGATCCAGAGCTGGGAGAGGCGGCCTTGTTGGCCCCCCACGCCTGCTCCTGCACGCATGGCGGCGCAGCCCACGGCAGCCACGCGTCAGCCTGCCGCCCCCTCGCACCACAGGTGCTGCACACAGCGCGGGGTTCAACCTTAGGGGCCTGTGCCTGCAAGCAAAGCCGCCAGGTGCCCGCTCACCAGGCTGAGCGCGGGCTCGCCGCCGCTCAGCAGCCGCGCGGCCCGCGCCACCACGGCAAACACGGGATCGGCCTGAAGCCTGCTGGGCACTGGGACGACGGACAGGTCGGCGCCGCCCTGCTGGCGCAGGCCGCGGCGGCGGTACTGGTACTGCCAGCTGGCATCCTCTGGGTCTGCCGCCTCCCGGCGCTCCTCCTGAGCCGCAGAGTCTGCGCCAGGGTGCAGCTGGTGCAGGCGCAGGCGCAGGCGGGCCGCCGCCGCCGCCTCCTCCTCCTCCCGCTGCTCCCGGCCCGCACCCAGGCCTTGAAGCACAAAGTGAAGCATGGCGTCATCGGCCTGCTCCTCCCGGCTTGCCGCCTCCTCGTCACTCCCAAACAGCCGCTGCTGGCCGTCCCGCGCGGCCTGCCTGGCTCGCGCGCCCATGGCTGCCAGCTTGGCCCTCAGCTCCTGCTGCCAGCGGGGCGCCTCGCCGACCTCACCCGCCCGCCGCTGCAGCTCGCGCCAGCGCTGCGCGTCGCCGCCGCCGCCGCCGGCCCCCGCGTCGGCCCGCGCCGGCTGCCGCAGCGCTGCCTGCGCGGCCAGCAGCTGGGGGCGCAGGCGCCAGGCGCCCTCGCCAGCGCCGCGCCCCTCCTCTTCCCCCTCCTCTCTGGCCGCCGTCGCCTCCCACGCAGCCTCGCGCCGCATCGTGCCACCCCCGGCCACCTCTAGCTCCTTCTGCTGCTGCTGCTCCGCCTTGGCCGCATGCTCCGGGTGAGAGCCCAGCGCCGCGAGGCGGGCGCGCACCTCGCGCTGCCAGGCTGGCGCCACCTCCTCGCCGCCCTCCTGCCGCAGCCGGCGCCGGCTGCCTCCTGCGGGGTGGAGCAGGCGGGGCGCTACCGTGACTCCAGTGCACAACGCAGCGCAGCACAGCACAGCGCAGCGCAGCGGCATGCAGAGAAGGCATGCATGCATGCATGCAGGCAGGCAGGCGGGCACGCGAGGAGGAAAGGCGCCTGCCACGCGGGCGCCGCCCACGCCGGCGCACCGGAGGCTGCGTCGTTCACAAACAGGCGGACCCACTGGCCGACCGCCGGCTGCGCCGAGAAAGCCACCTGCAGGCGACAGGGAGAGCGCCAGGGAGCAGGGGAGGAGGGGAGTACAGGTAAGCATGGTGGCCCGCCTGCCGGCTGCAGGGAGGTGTGCTGCCAGGGGCCGCATGCGAGGTGCGGCTCCGGCACGGCTTGGAAGAGGAGGAGAAGAGGCCAGGGCCCAGTAAGGCAGCTTCTTGTGCCGGCCAGGATGCGTGCTTGCTTGCTCGGGGCCTCTCGCGCGCGAAGCGCTCACCGGGATGCGGGTGGCGCCGCGCGTCACGCCGCCGTAGACGACAGCCAGCTGTGTGTCGGCGCGGCTGCTGCCCTCGGGCTCCCCGCCCCTGCGGGGGGTGAGGGGCAGCGCGGCAGGATGGATGCGCAGGCGAAATCCATCAGGGAAGCCCGTGCCAGACGCATAGCAGCGGCAGCAGCGGGACAGCGGCGTGCGCGAGGCCGGCGGCAGCGCGGCGCGGGCAGAGCGGCAAGGCCGCGCCGCCGCGGGGCGCCAGCTCACGTGAACTGGATGAAGGCGCCGCCGGAGCCCCACACCGACTTTAGGTCGCCTGCAGCGCAGGGCAGGGCGGGGCAGCATGATGAGAGCCGCAGCTCGCGGCACCAGCTGCCAGCTGCCGCTGCCTCAAGCCGCGACTGGCCCCCATGCAACGCTTGCCCTGCCCCACGCTGGGGCTGGCCCGGGCCTGCTGACAGGACCCTGCTGCCGGGGCCGGGGGCAGCAGCACCTGTGGCGTCTGCCGCCCAGGTGCCGCCATACACGTCGGTCAGCGATGCGCGGATGAGGATGCGGGTGAGGTCCTCCTGCGGCAGCGAGGGAGGCAGGGGTGTGGAGGGTCTGGGGAGGGGCGCGCCGTGCAGCCAGGGCAGGCCAGGGGAGCAGCCAACCAGGCTGGCTTGTGTGTGTACAGACTGCCCAGCCCCGCTGGTACCGGGCTGTCTGGCTGCCGGCAGATAAGCAGCATCCAGGGCAGGCCTCCCCAGCCTCACCCCCTCTCCACGCAGCGTGACGTTGCTGGAGGTGACGGCCAGGGGGCGGGTGAGGACATAGGTGCCGGCAGGCAGCAGCACCACCCCGGGGGCCACGTTTGCCGCCGCCACGGCGGCCTGCGGCGGCAAGGCTCGGCGGCACGCGGCTCAGCGCATGCGGGGGAGGGAGTGCACGGAAGGGCTGCGTGCAACGGTGCGCCGGCTCCCGCCGGCTCCCACAAGCAGGTGCAGGCCTGAGCGGCGGCGCAGTGCCAGGCACAAGCGAGCCGCCGAGGCGTGGCTTGGCGGGCGCCGCCGCCTCGGCAGCGCACCAGCAGCGCGGCGCTGTCGTCGGTCACGCCGTCTCCCTTTGCCCCAAAGCTCTTCACGTTGTACTTGGGTGTGGACAGGGGCGAGGGCGGCGGCACGTCGCCGTCTGCAGGCATAGAGCAAGGAGAGAGGGTGAGGTGCCAGCGGGCGGCTCCACCAGCAGCAGCGGCCGCGGCAACCGCCCGCCCCCGGCGCGCATTCGGGGCCGATTCTCGAGACTGAATGTGTCTTTCACAGCAGCGGCACGATACGCGCCTCGGTAGCCCGCAAAGCTCCAGTCCAGCTCTCGGCCCGAGGGCAGGTAGCCCGTGGCCTGGGCCGCCGCGCCGGCCGCTCCTGCAGTGCACGAACAGTGGCTCGAGATCGCTGCTGATTGCAGCAGGGGGCCACCGAGCGGCCACCGCGCCATGTCGGCCATGGCGGTTGCCGCCAGCACTGCGGCTGCAGGCTGCGAGAGGCACCCACCGGCCAGAAGCAGCCCCCAGAAAAGGACGGAGGCCGCAATGCGCATGCTCCAAGGCTCGCCAGGCTCAGTGCTGGCGCATCCCCCAACCAACTGTCTGGCTGCCTCGGACTGCGGCTGTCGGTGGCGCGATGAGCGACGAACGATTGCAATGTAAGAAAATGCTGATGTCAAGGAGCGCTGCCTGCAGCGCACGTCTTGCTGGGTCGGGGGTCGGGTGGTTGCCACGTCGTCTCAAGCCGCCGCGGTTTTCTATCAGCTCTCAGGGACGCGATCTCAGTCCTCGCCTATGCAACTGGGTGAGAGGGTGCTTGCCATCGGGAAGTCACGATCGGGGGATGCGTGCTTAGCTCCCTCCAGGTCCTGTTTCGAGGCTGGTGTGCTGCCAGCGCCTCGCCGGGCGGTCCAGGCGTCCTGTGGCTCCCCGCCTGCTGGCAACCAATGCATCACGCGCGTCCGCCCGGCGCGCCTGCCGGTCCGCCTGCCTGCCGGTCCGCGTCCGCCCCGCGCAGCGCTGGGAGACCGCTGGTCCGCCCCGCACCAGCAGGGGCTGCCAACCAGCAGCGGCTCCTTCTCCACTTGCCCCTGATGGCCTCAAGCAGCTCCGCCTCAGCGCCGCTGAAGCGCGCGCGCAGGGGCGGCGGCCGCACGGCGGCAGAGGCAGCCTCCACGCCGGTTGACCTGTCGGTACTGCTGCCTGCTGCACTGAAAACAGCAACTAGCTGATGGGCAGCGTCTGGAATTGGGCGCCCTGTGCCGCCGCCTCCGCTCCCCAGTGCAGGCCAGGGTGGGAGCGGGCCGCCGCTAACAGCGCTTCCCAACGCTGCAGCACGCTCAGGCGTGCTGCCCAAGAGGAACCAGCGCACGGCGAGCGCAAATGCACAGCGGGCGGTGCTGCCTGCATACATGCAACAAATTCCAACAGCGTGCCCCACACCCTCCCTCGCTCGCCGTGAAACTTTGCCTGCCAGCAGCGGCAGTGGCGAAGCAGCGGCGACGTGGCGGTGGAAAGCTCGGCCTTAGCCAAGCAGATGCTCAGCACAGTGGCTCTTCTGCTTTGCCTCTGCACTCTCAAAGCCTTGGACGAGCCAGCCACAGCCTTCAGCCGCACCTAGGTTCTCGTGGCTGCCACAGTTCCCCTGCTCTCTCCTGCTGGCTGCTGCCTCGCTCTCAGAAGGCCCTTGGCCCTTGCCTGAAGCACGCACGAAGGCAAGCTGGTAGATGCCGTCGCGGTGGGCAGGCAATCCGCTCCTCAGCCGCCGCTCTTGGACGCTGGTGCTCACCTCCGCTGCCTCTTCCTGCAGATGAGCTCAATGGATGAAGTGACTTCAGTTGTGGATCACAATGACGTGCAACAGCTGCAGGCAGCACTCAGCCAGCAGCCCAGCCTGGCAACAGCCAGCAACGACGGCGGCTACACACTGCTGCACAGGGCAGCAAGTATGGGCAGCACAGAGTGCCTGCAAGTCTTGCTGGCGGCTGGCGCCAGCACCGAGGCGACCAGCACTGAGGGGGGTGCCACAGCTCTCTTCTGGGCGGCGCTGGACGGCCATGAGGCCTGCGTGCGGGAGCTGGTGGCGGCGGGGGCAAACACCGAAGCGGCTACCAGCGATGGGAAGAGGCCGCTGCAAATTGCCGCCCTGGGAGGCCACCTGGGCTGCCTGCAGCAGCTGCTGGCGGCAGGCGCCAGCCTTGCCCTTGTGGATGATGATGGGGCAACGCCATTAATGCTGGCAGCTTGCAAGGGCCACGAGGCCTGTGTGCAAGCATTGCTGGCAGCGGGGGCAAGCGTGGCGACTCTCTTTGCTGGGAGCACGACGCCCTTGCATGGCGCAGCAGCCTGCGGGCAGGCAGCATGCCTCAGCCTGCTGATCGCTGCCTATGCCAACCTTGACGCAGCCGACGACAGCGAAATGACAGCCCTGCACAAAGCAGCTGCAGGCGGCCACCTGCCAGCCATTCGCTGCCTGGTTGCGGCAGGGGCGAGCATGGCGCTGCGCGACAAGAAAGGCCTCACCCCTCGCATGCATGCAATTAGGAAGAGGAAGCTGGAAGCAGCGCAGCTGCTGCTGGAGCTGGAGCAGCAGCAGGCAGGAAGGCGGCAGCCGGGTGTGCCCGGCAGCAGGGCCTCACTCTGGAAGCAGGCTGAAGCCCCAGGGACTGCTCCAGCCTTCACACCTGCTGCTGAAGCTGCAGCACAGGCTGCTGCTGCCCAGCTGCTGGCAGAGGAGGAGCGCGAGGAGGAGCAGCAGGCGGCCAAGGCCGCCAAGCTTCAGCGACAAAAGGAGCGCCAGCGCCAGCGGGCTGCTGTGCCGGCGGAAGAGGCGGGCGAGATTGCTGCACCCCAGGCAGCGGTATCAGAGCCGCCTTCTCAGCAGGCAGAAGGCGCATCAGTGGCAGCTGCTGGCACGTCCAATGCAAGCCTGGAGCTGGCACAGCAGCTCACCTCCACTGCCTGCCCAGCTATGCCCGCCACGCCTGCTGCTGCCGCTAGCAGGCAGCAGGGCAGCGGCAAGAAGAGGAGCAAGAAGAAGAAGAACAAGGGAGGAGGGCAGGCGGTGGCAGCCCAACCATACGCACAGGCAGCCGCTGGAAGCGCTGGTGCAAAGCCCAGTGGGGGAGCTGAAGGGGCACCAGCAGAAGGAGCGGCGGCGATAGCCGGAGGCAGCAGCAATGCCGACGAGGACGAGCTGGCGCTGCTGCTGCAGCAGCTGGGAGTGCAGCCAGCAAGGGATGGTCCCTCCTGCGCTGCCGCCGGGAATCCGCTGCCAGCCACGAGCGCGGCAGCAGCAGACGAGGCACCAGCGCCAGCCAGGCTCGCCCCGGGCGCTGCGCCAGCAGCCCAGGCCCCGCTTCCTGCCGCTGCCAGCCTGCCCCCTGGCCTGCTCAGCGAACTACTGTGCCCCATCACCCAGGAGCCGATGCGTGACCCAGTGGTGGCGGCGGATGGGCGCACCTACGAGAGAGCCGCCATCGAGGGTGGGTGGGTGGGTGGGGGTGGACAGAGCGCAGCAGCGGCCTGCGCACGCCTGTGCCCTGCAGAGTGTTTCGTGATGCCACGTTCCCTCTTGTCTGCTGGCAGCTCTTCCATCCCACCCCTGCCCTGCAGCCTGGATGGCACGCCAGGCAGCGGCGGGCCAGCCGCCGTGCTCCCCACTGACCAACCTGCCGCTGGAAAACCTGGTGCTGCATCCGAGCGTGACCGTGCGCAGCGTGGTGCTGGGGCTGCAAGCTGCGGGGCTGCTGGGGTGAACAGACAGGGCACTGCTGCTTGCTTGCTTGCTTGCTTGCTTCTCAGTCAGCCTTGGTGAGCAGCACCCTGAACGCCGCAAGCTTTCCACCCCGCCGAGCCCCATCTTCCCTGCCCTCCACTGCCCTGCCCTCCTCAACTCTCAACCGCGCGAGCGTGTTGGCGGCCTAGTGTGTTAAAACATGCCTACAAGGAAGCAGGCAGGTAGTGTGGAGCGCTGGGGGGACCTCCGCGCCGTGCCGGCGATAGGGGACAGGAGCGGAAAGGGGGGGGTGGGGAGGCGGGGGAGACATGGCCTCCAAGTGCACACACACAGCCGGCAGGGCAGGGGAGCAGGGCAAGCGGCGCCACTCAAGCTGCTTTGCACCCTTCTGCCTCCCGTGCCCAGCGCACACAGCGGCGACGGCGACGTGGCGGTGGAAGGCTCAGCCTTGGCAGAAGCCAGCCCTGCCTCAGCTCAGCGGCTCTTCTGCTCTGCCTCTGCGCTCTCACAGCCTTGGACGAGCCAGGCAGAGCCCCCAGAGGCACCTAGGTTCTCGTGGCTGCCACAGCACCTCCGCTCTCTCCTGGCGGCTGTTTCGGGCTCCAGCAGGCACCTGGCGCTGCACTGAAGCACGCACGAAGGTTGGCTGGCTGATGTCGTCACGGTGGGCAGGCGACCCGCTCCTCAGCCGCCGCTCTTGGACGCTGGTGCTCACCTCCGGGCCGCGGCTAAGAAAGGCCTTCTTTGAAGGCGCTGGAGCTAGTGTCTAAACCCTCCGAGAGGGCACAGGTTCGATTCCTCTCATGTCGAAACTTTGTGAGGACAAACGCGGCATAGCTGACCGGCTCAGCGCCAATCCAAGCCAATTCCTTCGGGAACGCCTAATAGAATCGCCAAGGCTTCGGCACAGGCCTCCCCGGGACCCATTCACTACTAGTGGGGGGTACTGCACTTGGCGCGTCGGGCAGATCAAATAATGGTCTAAAGCTAGACGTTAAAACCGGGAAGTTAAGCTTGTGGAGGCTCTTCCCCACCTTTACCTTTACCTTTACCTTTACCTCCGCTGCCTCTTCCTGCAGATGAGCTTGCTGGAGGAAGCAGCTTCAGCAGTGGAACGCAACGACGTGCAAAGGCTGCGGGCAGCACTTGGGCAGCAGCCCAGCCTACTCTCCGTCAGGGACAGTGACGGCTGTACGCTGCTGCACGTGGCTGCAGTCAAGGGCAACCCAGATTGCCTGCGGATCTTGCTGGCGGCTGGTGCCAGCATAGAGGCAGCCAGCACTGAGGAGGGGGCCACAGCTCTGTTCGTTGCGGCGCTGGAGGGCCACGAGGCCTGCGTGCGGGAGCTGCTGGCGGCAGGGGCAAACACTGAAGCGGCTGCCAGCAATGGGGAGAAGCCGCTGCACACTGCCGCTCTGGGAGGCCACCTGGGCTGCCTGCTGCAGCTGCTGCATGCTGGAGCTGACGTCGACGTTGTGGATGATGGTGGGGGAACGGCATTGATGTGGGCAGCCCAGCGGGGGCATGCATCTTGCCTGCAGGCATTGCTGGCAGCTGGAACCAACTTTGATGCAGCAGACACGCGTGGGGTGCCACTACTTCACTACGCTGCAGTCAGAGGCCACGAGGCATGTGTGCAGGCGCTGCTGGCAGCTGGATCCGATATAGACGCAGCAGACCGGCATGGGCAGACAGCGCTGCTCATGGCAGCTTTTGAGGGCCACGAGGCATGTGTGTGCAGGCATTGCTGGCAGCGGGGGCAAACATGGAGGGGATTGGCACCTGTGGCCACAGACCCCTGCATGCTTCGGCAGTCGGCGGGCACCTCGCATGCCTCAGCCTGCTGATCGCTGCCCATGCCAACCTTGAGGCAGCCAACAGCCGACATCAAATGACAGCCCTGCACTGGGCAGCAGCATACGGCCGCCTGCCAGCCATCCGCTGCCTGGTTGCAGCAGGGGCGAGCATGGCGCTACGGGATCCTCAAGGCCTCACCCCTCGCATGCGTGCAGTCATGGCTAGCCGGCGGGAAGCAGCACAGCTGCTGCTGGAGCTGGAGCAGCAGAAGGCGAGAAGGCGCCAGAGAGGTGTGCCAAGCAGCAGGGCCCCAAGCCAGGAGCAGGCTGAAGCCCCGGGGCCTGGCCCAGCCTCCATGGCAGCTGCCGAGGCGGCCGCTGCAGCCGAGGCTGCTGCTGCCCAGCTGCTGGCAGAGGAGGAGCGCGAGGAGGAGCAGCAGGCGGCCAGGCAGGCAGCCAACGCCGCCAAGCGGCAGCGACAGAAGGAGCGGCAGCGCCAGCGGGCTGCTCTGCCGGCAGGAGAGGCATGTGTGATTGCAGACCAAGCAGCAGTAGCAGAGCCGGCTTCTCAGCAGGCAAAAGAGGCGGCGGAAGCAGTTGCAGGCAGGCCCAGGCCAGCAGCGGCAGCACCAAGCGCCAGTGCCGCACCTGTGCCAGCGGAGAGGCCACCAGAAGAAGCGGCTGTGGAGGCAGCCAGAGGCAGCAGCGCAGCAAAAGAGAGCTCACCAGCACCAGCAGCACCTGCCGCACCTGCTACAGGCGCAGATTCCACGGCAGAGACGTCAACCACAGCAGCAGCGGCACCAGTGGCTGCACCGGCAACAGCAGCGGCACGTGTCAGGGTGTGCGCAGCAGAGGGCTGCGGCAACACGAGCGGCCTGCGTCGCTGCAGCGGGTGAGCTGTGCCCTGGGTTGCAGCGGCGTCACCCCTGGGGCTGTCCTGTTTTGTTCTGCAGGCTGCAGGCTGCCTGCCTGCTTGCCTGGAGTTGATGCTTCTGTGCACTGTCCCACCTGCTTGCTGCCTGCAGGTGCAGGGCTGTGAGGTACTGCAGCGAGGCCTGCTCCCATGCACACTGGAAAGCGCACAAGGCAGAATGCCGGCGCCTGCACACCGCTGCGGGGGGTGCGCAGCCCTGAGCCCCGGCACCAGGCGTTGCGCCACCACCTGGCCTGAACTCAAGGTGGAGACGCCTGGCGCTGCTGTTTTGTACACGTCTGGTGTCTGGACGCTGGGCTGTGTTCTCCAGATTTTTGTGCGCTATGCATCGGCAGGTCCTGTCTGTTTTACACCGATGAGGAAAGAACAAGTCCAATCGCTGAGCCAGCTGTGACCAGCAGCAGCAGCAGCAGGAGCAAGGGAAACCTTGGATCCCTCCCACGTCACCCTGGCCGCCCTGCCTGTGCCTCCTCGCCTTCTGGCCGGGCAGTGCCGCCAGCATGCGCGCTCTGGCCGGCCAGCGCCACAATCAGCGCCATCGCTGCCCTGGAAGCCCCAGGAGAGGCAGGTGGGCTGGGGCTGGCTGGGCGTGATGCCGGCGCCGGCGGCGGCACTGACGGGGGCGACGTGGCAGCCGCCGCAAGGACCCTCTGGGCTGGCACCGGGCCTGGGGCTGGGGCTCGGGCAGGAGCGGCGGCCGGGGCGCTGGACTGCTTGGCTGCTGCCGCGGCAGGCGGCTGCTGCTGTGCCTGCCCCGCCTGCACTGCCTGCGCTGCTTGGGCTGCCAGCTGGTACTGCTGCAGTTTCTGCAGCACCAAGGTGAGGAGCTGGCGCAGCTGAGGCGGCACTTGCTGCCGCTGCTGCTCCGGCAGCAGGCGCTGGAACTCGTCCAGAGGCAGCAGCCCCACCGGCAGGTGCAGCACTTGATCGTGCGACAGCAGGCACAGCAGGCACAGCGGCAGCGGGCCGCTGGCGGCCGCTGGCTGCCTCGCCCCTGCCTCCTGCTGCTGCCGCTGGGGCTGCCGGGGCGGCTGCTGCTGGGGCTGCTGGGGCTGCTGGTGGGGCTGCTGGGACTGCTGCTGCGGGGGCTCTCGCCCGGTATTCTGCTGCATTTGCCGCTGCTCTCCCGGCGCCGGCGCGGCCCGCCGCTGCCGCTTGGCCGGCGGTGGCGGCGGCGGCGGCACCTGCGCGATCAGCTCGCCGCGCTGCCTGCTGAGCCTGCTGAGCCTCTCCTGAGTCCCCAGCAGCTTCGAAATCCCATGCAGCCCTGCTGCTGGGGGCAGCTCTCCTCCCCTCAGCCCCAGTCCAGCCAGCAGCCGGCCCTCTGAGCCGCCCCGTCCCAGCCCCGTCCCCAAGGCCTCCACAGGACCCCTGCCGCCGCCCGGCTGCGCGCGTGCTGCAGGGGCGGCAGCCGGCGGGGCGTTTGCGCCCGCCAGGATCGCTCGCACCGCGGCGAGCAGCGCGTCGTGGCCTGGGAAAAAACGAGGCCGCAGCAAGAGCCCGAGAAGCCCACTCGAGAACCGGAGAGCCTGCTCGCTGCGGTCACTCACAGCGGCAGCCCAGAACCTTGCTAGGGCCTGCCTTCCGGGTTTCTCTTAGATGGGGAAGTCGGCGAAACGGCCAGCACAAAGTTGCCGGGCGTCTACAAGGCACATGACGTGCGCTTTGGGATGAGCAACCCCCTGGTATCCCGATTGAACCCCGCGCCTCCTGAATGGCATCCTGTGATGCTGATCAGCGGCAGCGCAGCGGCGGTGTGAGCGGGAGCCAGATGGGACAGGCTGCGCAGGCTGCGCCAGCGAGCGCTGCCGGCCCCCACACATGATCATTCCCACTGCCTCCCATCTGCTTTGCCTTGCAGACAGCACTCCGACCTGATGAGTCCACGAGTTTTACAACGGCTGGAGGCTTCATGCCTGGGGAGGCTCTGAAAGCAAGAAATCAGTCTTTGCTTCTCGCGGCGGCGCGCTTGGCAGCGGGCAAGGGCTGCGTCACGGGTCGGCGAGCATTGCAAGCGATTGGGTAACAATTGGGCTGCTAGCGGGCAGGTGGGTGACGGTGGGCAATGGGGGTTGAGGCAGGGGACTGGTAAGCAAGGAGCACAAAGGGAAAGACAGAAAAAAGAATGCCTGTTCATGAAACGCAGTGGCGTGGCCCCCGGCAGCAGGGTCGGCAGTGAAACTCTGCCTCCGCTAATTGCTGGCTGCCACTGGGGTGCAGCTGGGTGATGGTGTGCGCGCATGATGCATGCCACCGGGATAGAGGAGGTGGAGCAAACAATAGGGGCTGCAACAGAGGAGATGTGTGAACTGTTATTTGAAAAGATTGGGAAAACGATAGGCGATGGTGGGGAGTGCTCAAAAGAAAAGAAAAGGGATAGCGGCGCGGCTGCGCTGAATCAGTGGTCATGCTCCCGCCGGCGGTGGCCCGCCCTGCCCAGGCAGCTGCCTGGCAAGCATGGTCAGGAGCGCCATGAGCGCCGCAGGCGACGGCTGCACGGCGCCGGCGTGGCCGGGCGCGGCGGCCGGCGGCGGGGCCGCCAGCGGGCTGGCTGCCGCGGCGGCCGCCGCGGCGGGGGACGTGCCGCCGGCCTGCAGCTGTTGCTGCTGCGCCTGCACCTGCCGCTGCACCGCCTGCACCTGGCGCAGCTTGTCCAGTACCACCAGCAGCAGGTCCCGCAGCCCTGCTGGAAGCTGCAGTACCTGCTCTATTGGTAGCGCCTGTACCTCATCCAGGGGCAGAAGCTCCCAGGGAAGCTGCTGCACCTGCTGCAGCGGCATGCGCGCCACCAGCCCCAGCGGCAGCGGCCTGACGCGCCCCGCCGCGCCGCCGGGCAGCAGCAGCGGCGAGGGCGGGGCCGGCGGCGCCGAGCCGGGCGCGGCGCCGGGAGGGGCCGCCGCCGCCGGCGCCGCGGGCTGGGGGTTGCCGCTGCCAGGAGGCACCGGGTGCAGCCTGCGGGGGCAGAATGCACGCATGCATGCATTGCAGTGAGCGTACACAAGCGCAGAGCCAAGCAGCCCCGGAACCTCTTCTCTCTCCCTTTCCTCTCTCCCTCTCGCTGTTTGCTCCGCCTCCAGCCTCCACACCCGCCGCCACTCCCAGCCGCCCCGCCCCCAACACCCGCCAGCCAACCGAGCCCCGCCCACGCCCAGCCGCCCCGCCCCCCAACACCCCGCTAGCCACCTGGCAGCCTCGGGCTCCAGCCGGGGCCGGGAGGCGGGCCGGGCGTCGGCGCCGCCGCTGTGCGGCCGCTTGCGCCCCGCCGCGCCCTCGCCCTCCCCTTCCCTTGCATGCATCGCTACCAGAGTCGCCGCCAGCCTGCGCAGGCGTGGAGGAGGAGGAGTGAGAGGAAGAGGGCGGACAAAAAGTGCCCCAGCTTGGCACAGGCTTGCCCCAGGCAGGCGCAGCAGCAAAGCAAACAAAGGGCGGCAGCAGGCTGCAACGAAAGGCCAAGGCAGCTAGCTCAACGGCAGGAGGGCAGCGTTCTGGGCGAGGCACTCCGCTCACTCTGCATCGTCTGAAGCCGGCTGCTGCTGGCCCTCCCGCGACGGCTGCTGCTGCTGCGGCTGCTGCTGGGAGGGCGCCGAGGCCGGCCGCTGCGGCTGAGGGTAGAGTGCCTGCTGCTGCTGCTGCGGCGGCGACAGCTGTGCCTGCGGCTGCGCCTGCAGCTGGAGCGGCGCCGAGGGCGGACGCCCCCAGCTCTGCTGCCGCTCCACGGGCGAGGGCTGCTGCGGGGGCGGGGCAGACAGCTGGCGCAGCAGCGAGGCGGCCTGGTGAGGGTCCAGCTGCTGCTGCTGCTGGTAGTGCTGCTGCTGGTACTGCTGCTGGTACGGCTGGTGCTGCTGTTGCTGTTGCTGTTGCTGTTGCTGCTGCTGGTGCTGCTGGTGCTGCTGGTGCTTCTGGGTGTTGTGGTGGCGGGCGGGCCCGCCGCCGTGCCCCGGCATCCGCCGCCGCACAGGCTGCTGCGGCTGCTGCGGCGGCGCGACGAGCGCGTGCAGCAGCGCGTGGCGCTGCCAGCTCAGCTGCTGCTGCACGCGCAGCAGCTGCATCACGCTGGCCGCCAGCGGCAGCTCCACGCGGCAGATGGAGCCTTCGAGGGTGGTGGGCAGCGGCTGGCTCAGCAGGCGCAGCGCACGCAGCCCCGCCTCGGTGCCGGGCGCCACCTCGCCGCCCGGCGGGCACCGGCTGGCGACAAACGGCGGCGGCGCCGCCGCCGGCTGCTGCTGCTGCTGGCAGCGCATGGAGCCCAGCAGCGCCGCCGCCAGCGACGCCTGACCCTCCAGCTGCGGCGACAGCGGGTCGCCTGCCGCGGGCCGCGCAGCAGCCGCCGCCGCCGCTGGCGTGGGTGCCGGTGCTGCTGCTGTTGCCGCTGCTACCGGGGCTGCTGGATCGACAGGGAAAGCCCGGGCCGGCCCGCCTGCCGTCGCCGGCCGCACAAAGGGCTGGGGCGCCGGCCCGGAGGCGGGCCCGCCCTGCACGCCTGCGGCCCCCGCCCCGGCCTCTCCTGCAGGCTGCGCCGCGCCGGCGGCGCAGTGCTGGGTGGCAGCTGCTGCTGCACCTGCTGCCGCTGCCGTTGCCGCTGCTTCTGCTTCTGCTGGGCCCGGCACTGCCATCGGAGCGGAAGCCCTGCGCGGCAGCCAGGTGGCGGCCTTGCCCAGGGGGTGGGCGCCCGCCGCTGCCGCCGCCGCCGTCGCTGCCGCGCCGCCGCCGCCGGCCTGCGCTTGGGGCTGCTGCCTCACGCTGGGCTGCTGGGACAGCCCTCTGAGGCTGCCCAGCGCGCCCAGCAGCTGCGCCGTGGCCCCGCTGAGCTGGGAGGTACGAGAGGAGCCTGCAGGCGGCAGCTCAGAGGCTTGAGTGGTGGGGACCGCCGCTGCCGCCGCCGCCGCGGGCGGCGGCGCCTGGCCGTGGGTGCCGCCCTCGCGCCGCTCCTGCTGCGGCGCCGGCACCGCTGCAGCAGGGGTCGAGGAGGCGAGGCACGGCAGGTCGGCGGCAGCGGCGGGGATGCGTGGCTGACGGCGCAGGCGCAGGTGCGGCAGTGTCCCGCAGAAACCGTGAGGTGGGTGGAACTACTGAAGCGGTGCACCAAAGCGCCTGCTGCGCAAGGCAAGGGCACGGCACGTCGGGGAAAGGCCGGCAGGCTACTGGGGCGCTCACCAGCAGAGCCTACGGCCTCAAGCAGGCTCGGCGCTGCGTCGGCGGCTGTGCAGGCTCCTCCCTCGGCCGCTGCTGGTACGACGGTGCCCGGAGGGGCGGCCGGTGCGTGAGGCGCGGCGCCTGCCAGCTGCTCCCCACCCCCGGCGCCGTCCTGCCTGTTGTCGTTCCCCCCAGCCCTGCCCTCCTGGCCGCTGCCACTCCTGGCTGCGCCGTGCGCGGCGGCCTGGCCGCTGTCCCGGTGGCTGGCACCGCCGCCATCGCTGGCCGCCTGCTCTTCACCGGCCCTCCCGGGCGCCGCCGCGGCTTGCATGCCCTTCTGCTCGCTGCTCACGGGGCAAGCATCCGGCTCTGAGGCCCCTGCGGCCAGAACGGTGTGTGCGGGAATGGTGCGCGCCCGTGGGGTGGGTTTGGGCGCTGCTGGTGATGTCCTAGCTCTCCCTCGTCAATGTGGGAGCGACGCCACCTGGGCAACAGCAGCCGAGGTGGGGGAGGCCTGCGCTGCCTGTGCAGCGCTGCCAAAGGGGGCCTGGGCACAGTCCGATTGACTGGATTGAGGCGGGAAAAAGGTCGCCTGACAAAGGACAAGATGCAGCGAGATGACAGCCGGGCACACTGAGTATCACTGGGACTGGGCTTCTGCCGGCCGGACGTGCATGGTGCGGGCACTGAGACAGATGTCCCGGTGGGAGCTGCTCACCAGCCGGCCGCGGCTGCACCTGGGCCTCTGCAAGCAGCTGCCGCAGGGCGCCAGGCGGGTGATTCCCCCAGCCGTGCGCCTTTGGGTTTTACACACATTATGTAAGAAATAGGGGCCTGGTGCCGGGCGCCGACTAGCATCAGGCAAGGGGGTGCACAGGGGAAGCAGGGGAGGAGCCATTGGCCCGGCCTGCTTTGTTTAGGCGTCCGCCCCCCGCTGCCCTTGCGCACCCCACAAGCTGAGCGGTATCCCCCGTAGGCACTTTGATCCCAAGCTCGGCACGTCTCTCTGGCAGGAACCGCCAGCTGGCCGGCCGCCGTCAGGGCGCCTGGCGCCGCGGCAGCGGGTGGTGGGTGCCCCAGGCTGCTTTGTCCCCACCGAAACCCCGCCTCGCCGCGCCGCCTGGCATCCGGCCGGACGCCTGCGCCCGCCGCCGTTCAACCGTCGCCGCGCGGCGTCAGACCGCAGCCGACTGCTGCTGCTGCTGCTGGCCACCACGGCCGCGGCCGCCGCGGCCCTGCAGGCAGGCAGGTGGGACAGCAGCAGCAGCAGCGGGTCAGCGAAGAAAGCAGCTGGGGGAGGCGGCGGCAAGAGCAGCCATGGCTGGGTTGCCAGCACCACACGAGGCGCAACCAGCGCAGCTGCTGCTGCTGCTGCTGGGCGACAGCAGCTCGCTCCCACTCGCGCACTGCTGGCCAGCAGGCTGGCAACAAGCCGGGGCTGCATGCATGCGACACGTAGCAGGCGGGCAGGGGCAGAGGCGGAGCCGGGGCAGCACCGCGGGCGGGCAGGCAGGCAGGCGGGCGGGCATGGGGGCGCACCCTGCCGCCGTAGTATCCACGGCCGCGCCCGCGCCCGCGGTAGCCGCCGCCTGCAGCCGGAGCGGAGCAGAGGGCGGCAGGAGGCACGGCATGGGCGCATGCAACGCGGTGCGGCCGCGCCAGCAATACACAACCATTTTGCCCCGGGGCCCTCCCACGCGCCAGCACGCCCGTGCACGCCCAGGACGATCCCGCCGCTGCCCACGCCCCCCGCTTGCGCAGCTGCCACCCGCTGCCCCCCACTCATGAGCACATGCCCTGGCCGCCCTCCCCAGGGGCGCTCCCCGCCACCCACCCGCGCGCCCCGGCGCACCACACCAATCCACCCACCCACCCGCGCGCCCCGCGCCGCCAAACGTCTCAATGTCCAC